CACTACTACTACCATTCGCCTACTCACTGCGAAGTCCAGAGTGGCACTCACCAAAAAACAATCGTCATCCAAATTAGAACTTTGCGGCGCTCTTCTTCTTGCTCGTCTTTTAGCAAAAATTAAACCAATAATTTCTAACAATTCGTTTATCATTTTTCTTTGGACAGACTCACAAATAGTATAACATTGGCTTAAGATGCATTCTGCAACACTTTCGACCAAAGGCGCCCATTGGGGACATTGTAACCGCGGATGTTGCCTCTAGAGGATGTACTGTAAAGGAACTTGTTAATTCAATATNTCGTTGGACATTATCGTCATTGGATATTATCGTTGGCCATTATCGTCCCCATTGGACATCTTTACCATTGGAGTCACCAGCATTGCTCGCACAAAGCACAGCACACCAGTTTGCCGCCTCTTAGTCTCTTCGTTACCATTGTAGCTCATATTCGTATGTTCGTTGCATACCCATACATAAGTATAACCTGATTTAAAAATTTTGCGGTGAAATTAACTAATCACTTATTGCTTAACTACTTACTAGAAGTAGAAGTATTATTATTTTAAATAATTTTGAAGCCTCTATAAAGCATATACAAGATCCTGTTCTGCAATGTCTTTGGCCGAGCTAAGACAACAACGCGCCAGCACCAAGAAAAATATTACGCGCATTAAAAATATCGTCGACGCCAGCTTGCGACCAGGTGGAAAGGCTCTTTCAGCTGCGGAATACAAATGCCGTTTGGGCATCCTGGAGTCATATTTTAAGCAGATTCTCTCAATTCAAACTGACATCAAAAGATTGGATGCTGATGATGGTGGACGTGCTGACCTGGAAGAACTTTACATCACAACTAAATTGGTTAACCAATCGCAACTGGCAGAAGATAACAAAGTTTCACTTTCAGACACAACTTGCGTGGTACAATCAAGCTCAAAACTTCCACCACTTAAGCTTTCTACGTTCGATGGCAAGTTTTCAAATTATCAAAATTTTATCACCTCGTTCAAGCAAATAATTGATCGTGAATTCAATTCAACTAATATTGAAAAATTCAACCATTTGCGAAATTGTCTCCACGGTCAAGCCTTAGAAACTGTAAATGCGTTTCAAGTGACAAATGAAAACTATCCGAACGCGTTAGAACGGTTGAAGGTACGGTATGATAACAAAACACTAATTTTTTTGGAAGGAATAAATTCGTTATTTGATTTACCAGCAGTTATGAAACCAAATGGCATTCAGCTAAGAAGTTTAATTGATAAAGCTTCAGCTATTTATGGTTCCTTGATATCGCTAGGTACCGACAGCCAAATATCGCAAGCTATGCTTATTCATTTAATTTTGCAGAAGTCTGATGA